CCAGCTGTGACCTCTTTGCCTGTCCTGTCACGGCTATGGAGGCCGTCTGCGAATCCTCGTCCTGTCCTGTCACGGCTATGGAGGCCGTCTGTGAACTCTTTGCCTGTCCTGTCACGGCTATGGAGAACGTCTACGAATTCTCGTCCTGTCCTGTCACGGCTATGGAGGCCATCTGCGAATCCATGTCCTGTCCTGTCACGGCTATGTAGGGCGTCTGTGAACTCGTTGCCTGTCCTGTTACGGCTATGGAGGCCGTCTATGAATCCTCGTCGGTACTGCTGTAGAACCTCCAGAGGTGGCAGCATCCGCTAGAGAACCTCCAGAGGTGTCAGTAGTATCCGTCTGTGAATCCTCGTCCTGTCCTGTCACGGCTATGGAGGCCATCTGTGAACTCTTTGCCTGTCCTGTCACGGCTATGGAGGCTGTCTGCGAATTCTCGTCCTGTCCTGTCACGGCTATGGAGGCCGTCTGCGAATCCACGTCCTGTTCTGTCTGGAAGCCGCTCCTTGGGTGGGGGGCTCTGTCATGAATCTGGTCCGTGGACTTCCATCCGATCGCCAGCAGAGGTCACTCATCCATCATATTGACTCTCTCACTACACTGACTGTTGCACGTCACCACGGACTACATTTCCCATGCACCATTTCACTAATCACACGCTCACCTGAGACCAATCACACACACTACATAACACCCACTCAGTTCCTGCTCCGATCGCCGAGTAGTGTTCTGCGTTTAGCACTCCCCAAGTGTTAACGTCTCGTCAGCCCCGTTACATATAGTATATTATTCCCAAACTTTTTTTGTTAGCTGAACTCAGAAATCTCTGAAGTAGATTTTAAGTTAGTATTTAAATAATTTAACATTGCATTCACGTGATCATGGTTCTCCTATGTTGGCTAATGGTCACATGGCATGCAGGTAAACAAATAAAATATTTAATATTGTTATGATTTTTTTTTTTTATTAAATACATTTTTCTTTTCATCAACTCCCAAACCCCAGTCTGGGAAACCCTACTATAATACTGTATGTATATAATAAATATGAATAATAAACAAACAGACATAATAACTTATATAATAAATAAACCTTCTAAAATAACATACAGTGGGTATAGAAAAGTATCAACCCCGTTTTAAAAAAATCACATTTTGTTGCTTTGCAGCCTGAAATGAAGAAGGACACAGTTTTTGTTTTATCCAGCTGTATTTACTCAGTGCAACTTATAACATCCAAACGAAAGATATAACACACCAACATGCCAGAAAAAAAAAAAAGGAAAAAAAATCACTGAGTTGGAAAAAGGGTCACCCCTCTCCTAAAAATGACTTATAAACTCACGTTCTCAGTGGCACACAAAGCCATTTGACTTTCAACTGTGATCAGCTGTGCTCATTTTGATCAGCTCAGCATGAAAAGAGTTTTGCTGGAGCATTTCAGTCCTTGGTAGTGCAACTGAAGCAAACAATCAACTATGGGTGGCAAGGCACTGTCAAAAGATCTCCGGGATAAAGTTGTGGACAGGCACAAGTCAGGAGATGGATACAAAAAAAATTCAAAGGCTTTATCAATGCCTAGAAGCACAGTGAAGTCAATTATTAAGAAGTAGAATGTATTTGGTACAACATAGACCCTCCCCGCATCAAGACGTCGCTCCAAACTGGATGAAAGAGCCTGGAGGAAAATGGTCAGAGAGGCGACCAAGAGGTCTACAGCAACTCTGAAGCTGTTGCAGGAATTTTTGACAAAGAGTGGTCATTGTGTGCATGTGACAACAATATCACAAATTCTCCACAAATGTGGCTTGTATGGGAGGGTTGCAAGAAAAAAGCCACTCCTCAAGAAAGGCCATGCAGTCACGACTGAGCATTTCTGAGGCAGATGAGACTAAAATTGCATTATATGGCCTCAACACCAATCGATATATCTGGCAGAAATCCAATACAGCTCACCTTCCAAATAACAGCATTCCTACAGTAAAGCATGGAGGCGGTAATATCCTGTTTTGGGACTGTTTCTCTACAGCAGGGACTGGAGCACTTGTCAGGATTGAAGGATAAATGGATGGGGTAAAATACGGTCAAATTCTTGAGGAAAATCAAACTGTCACCATTTGTGGACTCAGTGATTCAGGTTTTTTTTTTTTTATGACATGTTGGTGTTATATCTTTCATTTGGATGTTACAAGTTGCACTGAGTAAATACAGCTGGATAAAACAAAAACTGTGTCCATCTTCATTTCACGCTGCAAAGCAACAAAATGTGATTATTTTAAAGGGGGGTGATTCTTTTCTATACCCACTCTGTCTATCTATCTATCTATCCATCCATCTATAATTTTACAATATAAATACAAACAATCAAAATAAATAACTTACCAAAAAAGATTGCTTAAGTTACATGTCATGTGACTAATAACCAACATCAGAAAACCTTGCAAATGTGTTGTTAAATTATTGAAATATTAACTTAAAATCTCAAGGGAAACTTAATTTAAATTAATTAAGTTTTAAGTCTAAGCAAGGGGTTCGGCGGGCAAAAAAGTATGAGAACCCCTGATCTACTGACGTCAGAGAGACAGAAAGGGATGTAAAGAGCAGAAACTTCATTCATTATCTATCAATCCACAGTAAATATTTTAAATGTATTGATATTTGGTCGATATTTAATATATATTGGCCTAATTAGTTAATTAATCTTTAAGAATATCTTGAATATCCATTGCAGAGCAATCAGATTACGTAAAGAGGGAAAGCCAATGGCAAACCTTGCAACATGTGTGGATCTGAAACTGGACCAAACTGGTAAATCCACATTCATAGGTTAACTCTCGCCATTCCACACATGACTCTGGCCTGACAGTATGTAGTATTCGGACTGTAATTATCTAAATTAATGTAGAATACAAAATTATTATTCATGGTGCTGTTTAAGTCTTTACCAAGAAGGTCTTTGATACCTGGAGAAAGGTATCTGTTAAAATAGCTTTTCAAATTGTGTACAACTGTGACCAGCCAAATCTTGACCCCTTGTACAACCAGGCAACATTGACTCGTAACACACCACCAGGGTGTGTCAATGGTATGAGTTTGGGGCGGGACTATATGTTTGTCCAATCAACGAGAGATTGGTGGAGTGTTCAGGAAACTTGTTTGAGGTGATTACTTTCAAAATTCTATATTGGAGCCACTAATGGCACCCTTCTTTAAAGTGATAGTTCACCACAAAATGAAAAGTTTGTAATTTACTCAACCTCGCATTGTTCCAAACCTGTATTGTACACAAATCAATGTTGTCTTGGACCCCAGTGACTTTCACTGTACACTCTAAAAAATGCTGGGTCAAAACAACCCAATAGCTGGGTTTGTCCCTTTTTAACCCAGCGCTGGGTTATATTTAACCCAGCATTTTTTAAAGTGTATGGACAAAAACAGTTATTCAAAATATATTATTTTGTGTTCCACAAAAGACAGGAAGTAATAAGGTTTGGAAAAACATAAGGGTGAGTAAATAATGTACAATAAAAAAGGGGGGTGAACTACACCTGTACATTTTATTTTCATGAGCTATAAATCCAATCAGAAAGGCCAACAAATGAATTAAGCATGGAAGGCTGGTAAAGATTTAAGACCCACTGCTGACAAGACACTTCACGGGATCAACAGCCTAGAAACATCCATGCAACCATTGTTTCAAATGGTATGTAAATACAACATTATATTAATATCTTGTAGCAAACTTTAAATAAA